AGGCGAGACACAGCAAGCTGAGTATTCTATAGCTTGATAAAGATTCATAAGCTGGCTCAATAATTTTTTTTAATCTTCGCATTTTCCCGCTTACGCAGGATTTGCTGCACGAGTTAATTTCTCCAGTATTCTAGATTTAAGGCGTGATGATCGTCTATTCTAAGCTCTTTCAGGTCAGCTCTAGCCTGTCCATCCACCTCATCTTTGGTCTTCCTCGTGGTCTTATTCCAGCGACCTCCAGAGACATGGCCATTCCTGTGACGTGGCTCTCATCTCTTCTACCTACATGCCCGTACCATCGCAGTTGCTTTTCCTGCATTTTCTTAACCATGAGAACAACTTTCATCCTACACGAACTGTGTCATTACAAACATGATCTAGCAGGGTGATACCCTAATGTCCACCGCAGCATTCTTGTCTCCATGATACTAAGCTTGTGTTCTTCATTTCGCGTACCGGACCAACATTCGCTGCCATACAGCGCTGTGGGACGGATCACAGTGTGGTATATTTGGGATTTGAGTTGCACTGGCATTCGCTTGTCGCATAGAGCTCCTGTGAGGGTTCTCCATTTCATCCAGGATGCGTTTGTCCTGGCAGATATTTTATCCTGTAGACCTCCTTCGCCAGAGATGTTTCTCGGTACTTGAAGGTACTGGCTTTCTTGGTTGGCTTCTCATCGATGTATTGGTTCCTGAAGTTTGACCTTCCACTTCCATATATTCTGTCTTCTTTCTGTTGAGCTTTAAGATACGACCCTTATTGGTCCTTCCATCTCTGTGTTTCTTCCTCAAGTTCTTCTGTTTTCTGCCATCAACACTACATCGTCTGCGTACAGGAGAGCCCATAGAGGTTGTCACTTGAGACCTTCCGTCACGCATCTATAACTGTGACGAAGAGTAGAGAGGAGAGAGCACCAATCCCTGATGCACGCCGGTCTTTATGCGGAATGGTTTGAGTGTCCTGCCGCAGTTTGCACATGCTTCGTGGCTCCTTGATAGATCATTTTTATCCACTGGATGTTTACTTCTGGAATCATATGCTTTCGCAGCACCCACTATATGACATCATGGGGTACATTGTCGAAAGCTTCCTCCATATCGAGGAAAGCCGCATGCAGCTCTCTCCGTTTTTCTCTATACTTCTTCATTACTATCCGTACAGTATGGATGGCGTCAGCAGTACCGGCACCCTTTACATATCCGCATTGATTGGACAACTCTATGATCGCTCGAAGTCGTGTTTCATGTACTCTTTTGAAGATCTTCGGAGTGTGGCTCATCAGCCGGATTGGCCGATACGTTGAACAATTTGCGATATCGCCTTTATCCATATCGGAATCGTTGTGCTCTTTGACCAATCATGGGACATGTTCTTAGCTTTGATGACCTGATTGAAGAGGCCTGCAAGCCATGAGGCACCGAGCCATCCGCATTCTTTCCGGAATTCGCTTGGTATGTCATCTGGACCAGAAGCTTTGCCGTTCTTTGTCCTTGCTATAGCAAGCCATACTTCCTCTGCTATTATGAGTGGAACTGGTCCTTTCACAGGGTCAGCTGGTGGGAAAGCTGCGCCAATGCTGGTACTAGACGACATTTCTTCAAAGTACGTTGGCCATCTCTCAGTTATTTCCTGTGGACTTCTTAATGTGTTTCCAAGCTTACACATGGT